TTGAAAGTGGATTAATAACCTTGACAGCGCGTTAATACCAATAACTTTACCGACGGATGAATGTGAAATAACAATAATCGTAGCAATGGGCCCATGGAGCGGCCCTTGTTTGCAATGGTTGGTTAAACAGGGCGGTAGAATGTATTCATTGCCAGATGTAAATGGACAGCGTGCACATAGTTTACTTTTAAGACCCTCAGTCCCAATATCTCCACATATATGTTTCATGGCGTTAAGTCTAGGCCATAAATTCAGTGAACCAGAATTCTATCCCAGACCAGATGGAGATGTTTTTATCTCTGGGGAGATTGATAATGGCGTTCTCCCGGAATCAGCTAACGAATTTAAACCCAACCCGACATCTATTAAAAATCTGAAGAGAGACTGTAACTTATTATCGCCTGATGTTTTGGGAAAGGCAACTGTAGTAAAGGAAAATTGTTGTTGGATGCCCATTTCTTCGGATACTCTGCCTCTAATAGGAAAAGTGCCGTGGTTGGACGGAGTCTATGTAGCAACTGGGCATAACGTATGGGGTATTTCTAACTGCACTGGGACTGGTTTAGTAATAGCTGAGATGGTGTTGACGGGTCAGGCCCAAAGTATCGATGTGAGGGCCCTTGCACCTCTGAGACCAAAAATTCCCAGAGTGCATCAATGAATAGAGAATGGCTATTTAACATAGTGTTAAGTTGCTGGTGATAGAGAATACAGTGTCAGTAGATTAGACCAGGAAAAGATTTAAAAAACGGGAGCTGATATCATATGAATAGAATGTACAATAGGAAATGAAAGGATATAAACCGAGTAGAAGTGTGTTTGATTGACTCCTCAAGAATGTGTCAATGTGTAGAAATCATGTGAGGCATACTGCAACAACCAGACAGGTGAATGCAACGCCACCCAATGTAAAGCTGCTATATTAATATGTCACAATAGTATGCTCCTCTATAATGTTGTTGTGCTGCTACATATCTATGAATCAACCTTGAGATTTAGCTTTATGTCGTCCTTGTACTTGAGAGCCTTATGGTTTTGATAACAATAATAATGCCTCAATTGATTAGTACTCACGCCTTACAAACGATTATAATCAGCAACAGAGTGATTGTACGCTTTTCACCTATACCTTTGCTATAATGAGGATCGCTCCAGCGAACGATTCTTTGTTATTTATTAAAATTAGCTGTTTACGTATTATACTGTAATTACGGTTTAGAACATTCAATGCGTGCCTGGCTTTCAATATAGTAATAGCCAGCGGAATGTTTATTATTATACCAACTAAAGTTACACAGCTAATCATAATAAACTGGATGACTATGACTTCTCGTAAACCTAACACCTGTTTATGATGGGTGGGGTGGGCACTTTCACTAACAATGGCGTCACTGTTGGCAACGTCTTCTACTAAAATGGCAGGCTATTTTGGAAAGCAAGAATATCTTATTTCGTATCTCCAAAGCCACAGTATAATTCATATGGGGCATGCTGAGGCTGATTATGATGTAGCTGAAAAATTAACTAATTGACTAATAACATTTTGAAAGTGATAATGGTGCTTGTTTTATAATAATAATAATAATAATAATATTAAATAATAATAATATAAATAATAATAATATAAATAATAAGTTATGGACTTGTTAATTTTAATTTTTCCTTTATCATACCAGAATGTGATGGATATAAACCATAACAGGATTAATATAGGATTATCTCTATATATAAAAATATTAATATGAAACTAATTGACTATTACATTAAATCCACTATGGAACCCAAGAATTACAGCACTATTAGAAGTATTTTAAAGGAGAAAAATTGCTTCATATACTGTATTTTTAAAATGAATGACACTCAAACTCTCTAGGAATATCTAGATCAAGAAAAAATTACTTATGAAATTTACCAACAAGAATGAAAAATTATAATGAATAAATGAGCATTAACCTCAACTTATGATGAACCAAGAAAGAAAAGAAATAA